TTAGCATTCAGATGGCCCCATTTGAGGCATTGTACGGGAGGAGATGTAGGTCTCCGATTGGATTGTTCGAAGTGGGTGAAGCAGAATTGTTAGGGCCATATCTCGTGCACCAGGCTATGGAAAAAGATAAAATCATTCAGGAAAGGCTGAAAGCTGCTCAGAGTCGCCAGAAATCTTATGCGGACATTCGTCGAAGAAAATTGGAATTCAAAGTAGATGATTGGATGTTCTTGAAGGTATCTCCTATGAAGGGAGTCATGCAATTTGGGAAGAAAGGGAAGTTGAGTCCTAGATATGTCGGGCCGTATCGGGTCACTCAAAGGATAGGGCAGGTGGCCTATAGATAGGAATTGCCCCCTGAAATGGCATTAGTGCACCCGGTGTCTATGTTAAAGAAAGTGGTTGGAGACCCATCCACCATCGTGCCAATCGAGGCTATCGAGGTCAATGAAAAGTTATCATATGATGAAATTCCGGTCGCTATTCTTGATAGGCAAGTCCGAAAATTGAGAAACAAGGAAGTTGCTTCAGTTAAAGTGCTATGGCAAAGTCAACAAGTCGAGGAAGCCACGTGGGAAGCGGAAAGTGAAATGAAAGAAAAATATCCCCATCTGTTTGAACAAGTCTAGTAGTGATTGTGCGAACTCTTGTCTCTAAGTAAACTGATGTTGTGTTCAATCTGGTGCAAAGTCACCCCATATTTTTCCCTAAAATGCTTTACTATTGTAACTCCTCAAGTTGTGCAAGAATTATATTTGTTGTGATTAATTGGTCATGCGCAAGCCCCTTTTTGGTAAATGAAAGTTTTGTGAGAACTCATGTGATAAGTGAATTATTAAAGGCAGTGTAGATTGGTAATGATTAATTGTAATATGTATAGTGTATTGGAGTGGTTGAACTGTATGGAACTCATTGAAGTGGCCAAATTGTGTGCAGGTGTTGAGGTAATGAATTGTATACCAGTTGTAGGGATAATAGGGATAGTGTAATGGTTCTTGGAAAAAATGTTTTGAGGGCTCTCTGACAGGTAGATAAGTCTAATTACAAAGGGAACTCTGGCAAAAATTTTCAAAAATTGGGAGTTTGCATATCATGTTTTCAAAACCAACCGATTTCCAAAATCCTCATTCGAGGACGAATGATTTAAAGTGGGGGAGGATGTAAGGCCCCGTGGAAACTTGTACTCAAAATCGGGTAGCTCGTGGTGCCAAGTCCCGAATATATGTTCGGAATGTGTAAAATTAAGCGAGCCGCGGTTCAGAACCTTTTGGTACTGATCTATGCTATAAAAAGTCAAGAAATACTGTTTTCCAGAAAATGCGATTCTGTGTCGAGAGTGCGGTCGCATATCAGGTATGCGGACAGCATAATCGTCGTAAAGTGAGTCAGTGTGTTGGTCGAATTGGAGGTTAAATATGCGGTCCAATATGCGATCGCATAACGGATATGCGGACCACAAAGTCGTCACATATTTCCCTTGGGATTTTGTAAGGGGCAGTTCTGCGGTGCACTATGCGACCGCATAATGGGTATGCGGACCTCATTTCTGCCGCATATCCAGGCAGTGTGTTCAGATTTTGGGAGAACTTTTGCGGTCCATTCTGCGGAACGAATTTCCACTCTGCGATTGCAAAGTGCGATCGCATACCTAACTCGGGCTCCTATTTTTCTAAATTTTAAATCCGACCCCTTCTTCAATAAAACACCCCAACCCCTTATTTTAACATATTTTCTGAACAAACCTAGAGAGAGGTGAGAGCATTTGAGAGAGAGAAGAAGGAACCCAACATTTAAATCATCCAAATCTTGCATCAATCCTCAAGAATCAAAGAACCCAATCATAAGTTCTTCATCTAAGAGGTAAGGTTCTATACCCTATACTTTAATTTCAAGTTTGTAGTATAAGATGAGTTATTGAGGTATTATTCTTGGGTGTATTAGTATTATGTATACATACATGTACAACTTCGGTTTATGGGAAGATTATTGAACATAAATAAGTAAAGATTGGGTTAGGGATTGAAGGAAATCTTGTAAAAGAGATTAGAAATCAAGAAGCTCAACTAGTATTTGATAAAATGCTCAAATGAGCTAGAATTATGAATATCTTCCTAATTTGTGTTCAATTTTGTTATATCTCGAAGTAGATGGGCATGGCCAGAATTTCCGGAACATTGTAGTAACTTAAGGAAAAGCTCTTTGAGGTATGTATGGCTAACTTTAACTCTTGTAGAATACCCTTGTTATGACGAGCATACGGTATGTGTACCTTTTATGAAATATGTGAATTTATTGACTTAGTTGATTTCCATACCACCAAGTTATATGCGATTGTGAGAAGTGATTTGATGTGCCTATCTTATTATGTGCAAAGTTTGTAAATGCTTGAGGATGTCGACATGGAAGTATGTGTTAACGGATGAAAGAACTTTAATGTGTCCAAACATGGGAATGTGTATAGTGGCGTAAATAAATGGCAACAAACCAAGTGTGTGCATGTGAATATGGTTATGGGGTAAGAGCTGTGTAACAAATTATAGAAAAGAAATCATAATTGATGCAATTGAAACAACGACGGTAATATCATCTGTGACTTGTTGTGGGCAATTATCATTGTGACTTGAATTGTATACGGGTTATTGTATATGCTGGAATTGGTATTGATGTTTATAAAAATTCTTGTGAATTGTTGTTGTTGTGAAATGATATTCTGGATGACCTGAAGCCATGTGATTGAACTGTGAACTACTGTTGTTGTGTGAAATGTAATTGTCCAGTAGGATCGGGTTGCGCGCCACAACACGAAGTTATAAGGTGCGGGTTGTGGTGATAAGGGTGGCCGAGGTAATAAGGGTGGAAAAGTGATCGAAATCACTATTGAAATAAAAATATGTGAAAGTTGTGAAATCATTGATGTGATATAATAATGTTGAAAGGGGAAAAGGAGAGATTGTGGAGTTTGTTTGGCTTTGGTTGTTCCCTTCATGTGCATTTGATTGTTGATTCTATTACTGTTTGTTATCTGTGTATTTCTTGATTTTACTTGGGGTAAAGTTGGTTCATACATACCAGTACAATTCAAATGTACTAACGTCCCTTTTGTCGGGGGAGCTACATTCGTGTTATGATTGTAGGTGGTTCCATAACAGGTACTCCAGCCCACCGACAATAGCACTCCTTCACCTCCCGTCTGCTGAATTGGTGAGCCCCTTTCCTCTCAGGGCCCTGCGTGGCTCATGCCGCTTATCCTCCCAAAAATTTTATTTTGGTATTTGCGTAAGGTATAGCCGGAGCCTTGTTACCGGCAAGTATTGTAACACTCTTCTTTTTCTCTAGAGGCTCTGTAGACAGGAAATGTGGGTTATGTACTTATGTATTTTGGGCAGTATAACTTGTAAACCACGCTAAGTAACTATGTATGTTATGTAAATCTCGTAAGAATGTGTTTAAATTTATAAATGGCTATTTTACTTGGTTAATGGGTAATGGAAACGCAGGGTATCACGTGGAATAGGAAAGGCACCCAGGTCCGCTTGGCTAGGGGATACCCGATCGAGCGCTGGTCTCGCCCCTCGATTTTTGGGGCGTGAAACATGCCAAAACCGTGATGTTGGCTATGCCAGGTGTACCGTGTGTTGAGTGGAGGGGTACTTTAGATCACACTCCCTGTAGAGTTATTTCTTTCCTTATATCTCAGCGTATGGTTGAGAAGGGGTATGATGCATATTTAGCTTATGTGAGAGATGTCAGTATTGATACCCCTTCAGTTGATTCAGTCCTAGTAGTACGGGATTTTCCTGATGTGTTTCCAACTGATCTTCCGGGCATGCCGCCCGATAGAGATATTGATTTTGGCATTGATCTGTTGCTGGGCACTCAGCCCAGTTCTATTCCTCTGTATTATATGGCTCCTCCTGAGTTGAATTAGTTGAACTCAGTAAATACGTATCGAGGGTCCTTCCTCATTTGCGAAGAAGGAAATACCTAGGCAGTATTAGGCATTTCAAAAACAATGATTTGGTCATTTTTATCAAAACTTAAGCTTGGGAACTCGGATTTGAGCGAGGTTTTGAGGGATTTTTAGAGATATCGCTTGGGTAACGATTCTTAACTCCTTTTTGCTTGTAACCCATTAATCTAAACATGAATTCATCATTTAATTTCAGTAATTATATGAAAATTGGGGGAAGTTCTTAGACCAAAAATTCAAGTTTTGATTGGGGGATTTGACATTGGATTTGGATAATTTTGGATGGTTAGACTCTTGAGAGTACGGGGATTCTTAAAATGTAAATTTTACCCGATTTCGAGATGTGGATTTGAGGGGCATTTTGGTTATTTTACCTAATTTCTCGTATTAGCTTAGAATATATTTGTAGAATTAGTTACTTGAAGTGTTATTTACATTATTCAATTGAATTGAATAGATTTGGGTCATTTAAAGTCGAGTACTCGTGGCAAGAACGTGGTTTTGGGTTGATTTAGAGTCGTTCGAGGTAAGTGGATTGCCTAACCTTGTGTGTGGGACCTTCCTCTTAGGACTTGGTATATTTGGTAATTGAAATGCTTTGTACATGAGGTGACGAGTGCGTACTTGTGCTAATTGTTGGAAATCCATTTTTCACTAAGTAATTACTTGTGACGACCCGGCCGGTCGTTTTAAGAATTTTCGCCTCGATCTCCTATTAACTGCTTTCCCCGAGTTTGTTTCTGCTATTTTTATTTGTCGGGATGTTCGATTTTGAGTTTCAGAGAGTTTTGGGACACTTTGTCCCTAAATGAGTGCTTAAGTGTTGGAAAGTTGACCGTAGTCAGAACAGTGTGAAGACGGCTTCAGAATAGAAATCTGATGGTTCCGTTAACTCCGTTGGGTGATTTTGGGCTTAGGGGTGTATTCGGATTGTGTTTTGGAGGTCCATAGCTAATATAGGCTCGAAATACCGAAAGTTGAATTTTTGAAGTTTCCGGTTCGATAGTGAGATTTTGATCCGAGGGTCGGAATGGAACTCCGGATGTTGGAGTAGCTCTGTGATAACGTCCAAATCCACTACTAAAATGTAAATGGACACGGTCGCATACAATATAATTTACGCAACTATGAGTCGGGGTCGAATCCCACAGAGAACAATATGTAGGCGATTAGGAATGTAAAAGAATTATCATTTATCGCGCAATGCCAAACACTTAGATTTTGGTTTAGAAAATATTTTATATCTAAATGCGGAAATGTAAACTAACTTAGAAAGCAAGTAAAATGATCAATGGCTACAAGTATGGTTGCATCGGGAATTACACTCAAGTAACGATCCAATGTATTTCATGATTTTACAAATATGAGCAAGTTTATGTTAATTAGCCATAGATAAGAATTCTTACTTAGCTTCTTCCGAAGACTAACAAGACTTCCTAATTGAATTATCTCTATAACAATGAAGAGATTAAGCACACCCGGAATGGCTACAAGTAGTTCAATCCTATCCCTAGGTAGAATCTATAAAATGAGGGATAACGCCTCAAGTTCTTGTTAATTAATCTTTCTCAACCCCAAATTATCTTTTCCAAAATCAATTCGGAGTTAATGTGAGAGTCCTAGGGATTAGATAATCCCTTTGGAAACATTAAAGGACAA